GTTGATGTTTCGGGTCAGAACCCTTCTTCAGAAATGGTCCCGACCCGAAACATCAACTTTCTTGCTCTTCTGATGCTGCCTGGCCTGCTGTGTTCCTCCAGCTCCACACCTTGTTATCTCTGACTCCAGCATTGGCAGTTTTTAACTATCTCAGACTGTATAAGGATGACAGATTTGCTTCCCTAAAGGGTATTAGGGAGCAAGATGGGTTTTTATGACAATGGCAATACAATTGTCATCAGACTAGTTTCCAATTCTAGGTTTTTACTGAATTCAAATTGCACCATCTGCCATGGAGAGATTTTACCTCATATCCCCTGGATTTCTGCATTACCGGTGCAGTGACATTACCACGACCACTAACATTACCACTCCATCCTTTTTCTGTATCCTTGTGATACGATGACTTTATTGTGTGTTTATAACAAAAGAAGAAGGATGTTTAACGAACGATCTCTTATGAAGACAAAGCCCCTTAAATTCTCTTATTGATTTTAAAGATTCGCAGAAGAAAACAGGGAGAAAGAGGAAACAAACTTAAAATCATAATCTATAGATTGAAGAGAGAGTTTAGGAGAAACATTTTCTTATCCAGAGAGCTGCTAAAACAGAGAAAAGTAAATAAAGTAGCATTTAAAAAGGATGAGGGTGAATATTAAAAATCAACATGTAATAGAATTTGAGGTAATAAAAGGTAGAGGAATGGAATCTTCAGAGACAGAGACATTGTGCCAAATGGTCTGCAAAATTGTACGCTATAATAAAAATGTCAGATCTAACTTGGTAATATCTACAGCTTTAAGTTCAACACAATCGAGCCAGTGGTGAAAGCCGTTGTGTTCATGAGCAAAAGGCTTCACTCACAGCAGAATTGTGTCTGCCGCTGACTAATCTGTTAACCCTCTGATTTAGACCCACGCGAGACTGCTGGGAAGGGGGCTGCAAAATTAGGAAGTAAAGTCAACAGCTCGGTGAGCTTACAGCACCGTTGGCATGGTAACGCACCTGCAAGAGAACAAGGCCTCAATCATGAAGCATGTGCTCCTGAGGTGATGCCAGTGAAGACTGGGCCACCTGACCAGGCTCACATTGTGGAAAAGCGGGTAAGGACAGCTCATCAATCCAAAACAAAGGAGTACCTTGAGGTAAAAATTGAAGACTGCTCTTTTCTAATTTTGTGCATGCACCAGCTTTTGATTGGCCGTCCATTCCCTGTAATGCATGGTAAATGTAAGGTTGGTGAGCACAAGAGCCCCATTTCCTTTGTTCCCCAGGCTTTTCAGTTGGTGTGCAGTTTTTGATCCAATTCTTGCTAATGCCACAGAACAAGGCCTCAGTTCTGACCACTGTTAACAGTAAGGCGGTCGCAATTGTTACTGCAATCAATTCTGTGTCGAATCAGTGCCTCTGTTCAGCATTTTGGGGCGGCACAGTGGCTCAGTGGTTAACACTGCAGCCTCACAGCGCCAGGGACTTGGGTTCGATTCCAGCCTCGGGCGACTGTCTGTGCAGAGTTTGCACATTCTCCCCATGTCTGCGTGGGTTTCCTCCGGGTGCTCCGGCTTCCTCCCACAGTCCAAAGATGTGCAGGCTAGGTGGATTGGCCATGCTAAATTACCTGTAGTGTTCAGGGGTGTGTGGGTTATAGGGGGATGGGTCTGGGTGGGATGCTCCAAGGGTCGGTGTGGACTTGTTGGGCCAAAGGGCCTGTTTCCACACTGTAGGGATTCTATGATTAAATGTATCTGTTAAATGCTGTCCCTCTCATTTAATGCCATGTCAGAACATTGGAATAGGAGGTGGCCATTCAGCCATTTAAAATTGTTCTGTCTCCATTTAATTAAATCATAGCTGAGCTGCATCTCAACTCCTGATTCCATAACCCTCAATCACATGTCTGACAAAAGGCTATCTGTGTTAGTTCAGGAAGATGCAGTAGAAGTTAATGTAGAATTACGTCATTTCGCCCTTCAAGACTGCTGTGCAGAAAGATCATGGCTAATCTGTTTGTGTACCATATTCCATATTGGCATGCTGTCTAGGCCAGCATTCCTTGCCCGCTCCTATTTGCCCAGAGGGCAGTTAAAAGTCAAATATATTGCCATGAATCTGGAGTCACACAGAGGCCAGGGCAGTTAAGGACAGCAGATTTTCTTCCTTAAAGGACATTAGTGAACAAGATCATAGAATTCCAATGGTTCACATAAAAGCCATTCAACCCATTGAGTCTTCTACAACCCTCTGAAGAGCATCCCACCCACACTCACCCCCACCCCTTCCTCCTATCTCCACATTTACCATGGCTAATCCACCTAGGCTGCAAATCCCTGGACACGAGGGGCAACTTAGCATGGCCAATCCATCTAACCTGCACACTTTGAACTGTGGGAGGAAACTGGAGCACCCGGAGGAAACCCCTGCAGACACGGGGAGAATGTGCAAACTCCACACAGCCACCCAAGGGTGGAATGAAAACCTGGGTCCCTGGTGCAGTGCTAGCCACTCTGCTACCCAATGGGATTTGGTGACAATTCACAGGTGGTCACATGGTCACCATCTGGCTCGCATTTTGTTTCTGATTTTTGTTCATTGAAATCAAATTTCACCAGCTACCATGGTGTGATTCAAATCTGTGTCCTCAGAACATGAAGCTGGGGTTCTTGATTGCTGGTCCAGTGACATTACTGCTATACCACAAGAACCTATCTAGCTCTGCCTTATGATTGAATGATCCCTAACTTCACTGCTTTGTGAGGCAGAGCTCTGAGAAAAAAACTTCCCCACATCTTGGTCCTTAAAGGTGACCCCCTAACTTGAAGATAGCGTGCCCTCATTCTTGACTCAACGCAAGACTAAACATCCTTTCCATGTCTGTCTTGTCAAGACATTCAGGACGTCAATCAAACCACCCTCACTCTTCCAAACTCCAGTGGGAACAAGACCAGTCTATTCAACCCATCCTCATAAGACAGCCTGACATTGCAGGCATCATTCTAGTAAGCCTCCTCTGAACCTCGTCCAATGCATTTACAGCCTTCCATACAATATTTGAGATGTGGCCTTCTCAATGCACTGTTGAACTGAAATAAAAACAATAGTGCGAAGAAACCAAGAATCATGTTTATTTGCGGAGATGAATTTTTACTGAGTGTCCTCACTTATGAGCAATGCTGAAGTGATATTCAACCCACTGAGGTAGAAATTCAGCATCTTATAAGGGTGCAGAGGAGATTTACCAGGATGTTGCCTGGTATGGAGGGAAGGTCTTATGAGGAAAGGCTGAGGGTTTTGAGGCTGTTTTCGTTAGAGAGAAGAAGGTTAAAAGGTGACTTGATAGAGACATACAAGATCATCAGAGGATTAGATAGGGTGGACAGTGGGAGCCTTTTTCCTCGGATGATGATGGCTAGCACGAGGGGACATAGCTTTAAATTGAGGGGTGATAGATATAGGACAGATGTCAGAGGTAGGTTCTTTACTCAGAGAGTAGTAAGGGCGTGGAATGCCCTGCCTGCAAAAATAGTAGACTCGCCCACTTTAAGGGCATTTAAATGGTCATTGGATAAACATATGGATGATAATGGAATAGTTTAGGTTAGATGGGCTTCAGATTGGTTTCACAGGTCGGCGCAACATCGAGGGCCGAAGGGCCTGTACTGCGCTGTAATGTTCTATGTTCTATGTTCTATTAGTGCTGTGCAGATGACCCTCTTCCATTAATTCTTTGGTTTAGCTGAACATGGAAACAGAGCTTTTGAATGTTTATTTTAAGGCAGTAAGTTATTAATAATTGCAAATGTAAGGCATGTTTTGTAAGTAACTGAATTCTTGAAGCCACTGCAGGTTGAACTAGCGCTCCATCTAGATCGTATTCTGTTGGGACTCACCCGCAAGGACCCCGGTATTGCCCATTCAACAAATTAGAAAGCTGTCTTCCTATTGCCTGAAAATACCCCACTGCCAGTGTAATTTCGGAGTATCCAAACTCTACCCTCGCAAGCCCTTGTTGCTCCAGGACTGTTTGCATTATAATTTATGGAGGAATCATTTATGATTGACACTGAATGCAGTCGAAATGGGTGACGTAGCACAATTTCTAGCTTTGCAGCCAGCAGGCAAAATGTCTGATGTTTCGATAAGTGCCACTCAGTAAGTGCTACTACTGTAAATCACTAACCTCCCCCCCCTCAACCCACCATCACCAAATGACTTTAAAATGTAACAGAGATTGGTGGAAGCTCACAGCATGTAGCGCACTGTATAATGGATATATAATTTGCTTGGCTCATTAATACGCATAGGAAAAAAGTGATTTCAGTCTGACAGACAATTACTGCCTATACTTTGTGATTGAATTGACAGGATGGTACTGAAACTTTGCAGATGCCACAGGAGTTAAAACCAGGAGACAGATATTGTGTGGAGCTGGCCAAGATAGACGGAAGCCTTGGTGTTAGTGTCACAGTAAGTGATAAAATGTTTTGCTTTTGCCACTCATGATTATACTTGAATATTCATAATAGTGGGTGGGAAATTTGAAACGAAATAAGAATTTTCTGAAATGGCTCAGCAGAAGCCGGCATCCTATTGCCAAATCACGCGTTATTTACACGTGGAGAGTCCTTGACGCTGATCCAGCTTCCCCGAAATAGACCGTAGGATCAATTTCCATGCTGTATGCCTCATTGACTCAGAGTCATCTCTCAGAGTGAACAGAACCCCTGACACTCCTGTTTATAGCTGCCAGGCTCCCTGATTGGACCAGATGAACAGCCCCAATCAGGGAACTCATATTCTATAAGGTCCAACTGGCTGACCCGATTACAATCACTGCAGTTTCAAACATCACTTTCCCCAGGATCTCCAAACCTTCTTCAGTTTTCATATGTTTTGCTATTGAAGTCCTTTAAATGACCATTTTGGTTTGAATGAATTGAAGGTTCTTGATTTTACTTGTCTCTTCTGCTGCTGATGTCTGCCCAAGTGTTGTTGCTGGGGTCTACATGGGGAGGGGGGTGCCTCAGAGGTGCAGCCAATGTAATCCTAGTGAAACCAGGCTGAATGCCTGAAGAACAGAGAAATAGTAATATCACAGAACTGTTACAGCACAGAAAGAGGTTATTTGGCCCATCATGTCTGTACTGGCTCTGAGCATTTTGACTTAGTGCCAATCTCTCACCTTTCCCTTGTGGCCCTGTACGTCGTTTCTATTTAAGTAAGCAACTTGATGCCCTCTCAAATGCCTCAATTGAACCTGCCTCCATGTGTCAGGAACAGGAGGAAGATATTCAGACACTTAGTTTTGTCTGCCAATTCCAACATGGATGAACTGCTCTCAACTCCATACATCTGCCTTTGCCTTTTATCCTTTGATGACCTTACTGGACAAAAATAAACTATCCATCTCAACGTTGAAAGCTCCACCTCTCCAAACAGCCATAGCATTAACCGGAGACACTTTCAGATATCCATTCCTTTTCCAAACTGTTTCTTAAATTCAATGTAACAGGAAGGTGCAGAAAATATAGTAGACAAAAGTATGCGGTGGAAATTCAGAACCAGAGTAAGTAATTATAGTTGAAAAGTCAAAACTTAAGGCTCTTTATCTGACTGTACACAGCTTTTGCAACAAGATAGATGAGTTAACAGCACAAATAGAATATGACCTGATAGCTGTTGGAGAGACATGGTTCCAGGGAGATCAAGACTGGGGACTCGGTATTCAACTTTCTGGAACAATAGGCAAAACTAAAAAGGAGGTAGGTAGTTTGGTTATTAAAGGCTGGTATCAGTGTGTGGTGGTGTGTGGTGGTATAGGTGCAATAGGCCGTGATGTGGAATCAGCCTGAGCAAAAGTAAGCAATAGCAAGGGAAAGAAATCACAGTGCAAGTCATCTGTAGGCCCCAGAAGAGTTGCATTAGTGTAGGACAAAGTATAAATCAGGAAATAATGGAAGGGAGGGCACTACAGTTATCATGGGTGATTTTACTCTGCATATTGACTGAACAGATCAGATGGGCAGGGGTAACATGGAAGATTAATTTGTGGAGTGTATTAGGAATTGTCTCTTAGAGCAATACATTATAGAACCTAGAACATACCACTATAATAGGAACAGGAGTAGGCCGTTCGGCCCCTCAAACCTGCTGTGCCATTCAATGGGATCATGGCTCATCCAACATTCTTCATGTCCATCTTCCTGCCTTTTCCCCATAACCCTTAATTCCCCAACTGATCACAAATTTATCTATCTCAGCCTTAAATATACACAAGCCCCCTGACCCCACAGCTCTCTGTGGTAAGGAGTTCCAAAGACTCACACCCTCTGAGAAAAGAAATTTCTCCTCATCTCATAAATTTGCACCACTTTAGTCTAAGACTACACCCTCTGGTCCTAGTCTTTCCCCAAGGAGAAACATCCTCTTTGCATTTACCCTGTCATGCCCCATATGAATCCCACGTGTTTTAATGGCATCACTTCTCATTCTTCTAAACTCCAGTGCTTGGAGTTCCAATCTGTTTAGCCTTTTGCTCAGAAGACAATTGCACCATAGTAGGCATCATCCTAGTGAACCTTCCCTGAACTGCCTGCAATGAAATGATCTATTTTCTTATGTAAGGGAGTCAGCACTACTCACAGGACTCCGGATGTCGTCTCACTAGCACCTTGTACAGTTGCAGAAAGGCTTCCCTACTATTATACTCCAACTCCCGTGAAATAAAGGCTAACATTCCATTAGCCCTTCCTGATTCATTGCTGCACCAATGAGCTACATTTCATGCACAAGTTCCCCCAAGTCCCTTTGTGTTGCAGCTTTCCACAGTTTTTATCCATTTAAATAATATTCAGTTCTTTTGTTCTGTCTTCCAAAATGACAAGCTTCGCATTTTCCCAAATTATACATCATTTGCCCATTTCCTTAACTTTCAATATCTCTGTAAATTGTTTGTATCCCTCTCATAGCTTGTCTTTCCACCTGCTTTTGTGTTATCTGCAAATTTGTCTACAATACATTCATTTTCTTCCTCCGAATCATTGGTATATATTCTGAACAGTTGCAGTACCCCATGCAGAAACAGGGTATTTTCAATGTAGTAAGGAGGTTAGATTAATAAGAGATCTCGCAGTTAGAGATTCTTGAACAGTTAAGTGATTACAACATGATAAAATTTCAAACTTACTATGAGAGAGACCAACTGTAATATCCACAACTTAGATAAGAGCAATTATTTAATGAAGAAAGGTACAAAGAAAAAATTATTGGAAGCAGGTTGGAAAAATAGATGAAACAGACTATCAGTATATAATCAGTGGGAAAAATTCAGCAGGAATTCATTCTGGTCATAAAGAAGGACTTGATGAGAAGGATAAGCTACCGATGGTTAACAAAAGTGGCCAAGGAGAATACCCAATCAAAATGTAAGGGCATAAAAATTATTGAAAACTAATAGTAGGCCAGTGGATTGGATTTTTTTTTAGGAACCAGCAGCAGTTGAGTATAAAACTAATAGAGAGGGAGGAAATTGACCATGAGAGTTGTGATGATAATGTGGTTTAAAGAGGTTATTCTGTCCCTGGTTGTGTTTTTAAAGTAATTTGAATGAGAGATGACGAGTAGTCTGTAAGAAAGTAAATAGCTTGTGAGACAGTGGGCTTTTTTCTAAAGTTAGAACAATAAAAGCAGCCTGAATGGGTGGGATCGAGCTCCCACAGTACCAGAATTTTAGTTATGGCCTTTAGCATTTACTGTTGGCGTCTTGAAGAAGTGGAAGCTACTTCTCCCCTCTCTCAGTTATAGCCGAAAGCTGGGGGTTCTCTGTTTGCTACCGGAATTGCATGTGAGACAATCTGTTTTCTGAATTTGCCTTTTGCCATGTTGGAATGTTCCCAATATGGGATGTTACTATATTGGAACAGTAATAGTTCCTGTATCCATTATTCTGTTACGTTTTCCTATAGATTTAAGTTATTTCCACTTCCATCTTTCTTTTGTTGCATAAACTACAGTGGATGAATAAAGTATGTTCTGCATTAAATCTGGTAGTTTGACCAATCGAATTGCATCTGGAATGCAACACCTTACATTTATCTTTAAAATCAGAAAAAGTTAGGGTCCAGACTATCTTCTGAATATTTTGAGATGGTTTAGTCTGGTCCACAACAGAGTAAATGAGCAAGAAATATAAAAGCAAATAGCACGAGTTTCTATGGGTATAGAAAAAGAAAGAGAGTAGCTAAAGTAAGTGTGTGACCCTTGGAAGAAATCCCTGTGTAGCCCCAAAGCATAACTGTCCTATGAACTTTAGGTTTGTAACAGTCTATAAATGAATGCTGAAAGTAATGTCTAGAAAAGGTCAAAAACCCTCTTACTTATTGCTTGAGAAGAATATGGTATTTTTTAAATGTTATAATAACAAATCTACATCAAGATAGAATTGGAAGAGATTGTCAGGCATTTTTGTTTCCATAACTGGAGTGCCTCAGTTCCCTGCTCTATTCATATTCTGCCATAAGTATTGGTTTCAAAGACTTCACGGAAGTAACCACTCTAAAATGGGAAACTGCTAGGTGGGGGTGTCATATAACAAAGCATCAGTATTCCCTCATTCATTATCGATGTTATTTTAGTCTGCTTAAAACTGTCATTTTTTTAGCTATGGGTTTCCTGTTTCAGAACCATTATTTATGTTGCCTGCACAGACTAAGAAACAATGGTATTTTGATGTACAAATGATCTTACGTTTATTATTTATCTTTGTGCATTTGTGCCCGGCAAAGGTGAGGGAGAACGTTGCAGGGAAATGGAGCATTTTCTGCTTTGCATCCAGTGACCGTGCCAAGGTCAAGTATAAAACACAAGGCAAAGTCTCCCAACATAGTTATGATAGAACACATGACTGTCGACTGTAGAAAAGTGTTCTGTATTGTCCTTGTGATTTGTTGTATTTCCCATGCTGTCTGCCCCCTACTTGGTCTCAATGTGATGTGAAATTGATAACGGTAAAACACCAATAGCAATGTAAAGGAGAAAAATTTTTAGAACATTGAGACTCTATTTACGTGTCCCTTGTGTTAAGAGTAACATTCCAATACAACTCATGTCACTTGTGCCTGACAGTTTATGCTAAAATCTGCCAGTTGTATCACTGAGTTTATTGCAGGAGTAATGAAGTTTGCCTGCATTATCAAGGCTGGTTTGCGAATAAGTACTGAAACTGGTGCATCATTGGAGCCTGCTTACATTTGGATAAATGTTAATCTCAGCCATACCTGCTTGTCCACAGCTTTATCAGTGATTGAGCAGGAGAGTTTTCCAGAGTGCCATCAGTAACGATCCTTCCTTAACCAACACCACACAAAAAGTAAGAGTAGATTGACCAGACTTGCTGCACTTTGAATCTTTCTGTGTGCAACTTGATTGGTGTGTTTGTCTGAATCAGAGAGGTGACAGTTATAAAGTAACGGCGTGCACAACCCATCCAAAAGATGCGATTAGCTTTTGAAAATGGTAAGAGAATATAGACACGAAGCTAGCAAGAGTCGGTCTGACAGGAAAGAGAATTTGCATTTCAGTTCCATTTACCTGCCTTTATAACATTCCGCTTCATTTAAAGGATAAGTTCGTCCACGTAAAGCACAGTTTAATCCATTCATAACTAGGAAGATTAGTTTTCAGATCGACTCAGCTCTTAATATAGTGCATTAGTGTCACCTCCAGATGAAAGGTGTGGCAAAAGAAACAGCAATTTGCTGACACTAAGGCTAGAATCACTGTGCAACACCACTCGAGTATTATCCCAAAGGTACGTTGTGAGTGAAGGAAGACCCAAAATTAAATATTGATGAGGAACCTATTTGGTGCGCCTTCTTAAATTCCATTTAATATCATCCCCAAGATGAAATAACTCCATAGAGGCTGATGTTCTGTCACCAAATCACCTTTTATTTACACATGCATAGTACATGATACTGACACAGCTAGCTCAGAGCCAGGTCCTAGAGTGACCAGAACCCTTGACACTCCTGTTTATATCTGTCATCCAGGGCTCCCTGATTGGACCAGGTTAACAGCCCCAATCAGGGAACCCATATTCTATGAGATCTGTCAGAATGACCTCATTACAATCACTACACAAGATACCACTGCAGGACTTCCTCAGGGTAGATATTTGAAAAAAAATGTTCAAACTTGTTACAAGACTCAGGCCTTCTGGCCTAGAAATAAGGATACTTCCACTGCGCCACAAGAACTCAGAGTAGTGTCCAGGCCCAAAAATCTTCATTTGCTTCATCAATGACCTTCCCTTCGCCATGAGATCAGAAGCGGCGATGTTCACTGATGACCGTTATTCACTCAAAGTTAAATACTCCTCGACCACATTCAAGTATACGTTTTCTAGTTAAAGTTTTATTTCAACCAATTACATGTCATAAAACTTAGCCATCTCCTCTCTGACCGTCCTTTATATACATTTGTATAGTCTTTTGGCTAAAACAAAAAAAAAATCAAACTGAATTAAAAAGAAAACAAACAGCCCACTAAAGCTCTATGTATATTTGAGGACAATTATCTAAATATTTATTGCATCAAATAACTGAACCCTGGGGTTTATTCTCTTATTGTACATGCCAAATTTTCTCTGCTTCTCAAAATGATGTAAAAAGTAATTATATTCTGATTTCTCTCCATTATACTTCTTTTTTCATACTGCCACCTGCAACCTTTATTTTAGATGTCTTGCCTGTCTATAAACATTATGTTCTGTATTTTCTGGTACGTTACAAATGGTTACCTTTGTGCTATGGGTATTACTGGAAAGGAATGCTTTCGGAGGAATGTTTCTTGTGCTTTGACATTTGTTCTTGCAGTGTGTGTTTAGCCGCAAGCTTAATACGCATCAAAACTAAAAATCTGTCCATACTCATTACTTTGGCACAGCCCAATACCTCAAATGCCAGTACAGATTGGAGAAATTTCTGAAAGATACTTCTGCAGTCTTAAATATAATATGATGAATTCCACAATATAAAAGCAAAAAACTATGGATGCTGGAAATCTAAAACAAACACAGAAAATGCTGGAGAAACTGAACAAGGCTGGCAGCATCTGTGGAGAGAGAAACAGAGTTAACATCGAGCTCAAGATGATACTGCTCTGAAGGTTCACTGGACTCAAAATGTTGGCTCTGTTTCTTTATCCACTGGTGCTGCCAGACCTCCTAAATTATATTATACACTCTTCTATGCAACTATCTTCACTCACTGAAATTTAAATGTCTGACCACATCTCATTAACAGTCATTAAATCAACTTTTTGATAAATTTTATCCATGAAAGTTAGCAATCTGTCCAACAACCTGTCAGTGTTCAAATCAGAAGTCACACGACACCAGGTTATAACCAACAGGTTTATTTGTAATCACAAGCTTTCGGAGCGCTGCTCCTTCGTCAGGTCACCATGTATATTTGAGGACAGTTATCTAAATATTTATTGCATCAAATAATGCCAAAGATCACCTGACGAAGGAGCAGGGCTTAGAAAGCTTGTGATTTCAAATAAACCTGTTGGACTGTAACCTGGTGTTGTGTGATTTCTAATTTGTTCACCCCAGTCCAACATCGGCACCTCCACATCAGTGTTCAGCTCAGCAGGCTTTGATTCCAAAAACAAATCTTGTGCTTCTTAACTTGCCTCTGTATGGTGAAGGAAGTATCAACGCATTTCATTGTTTCCTCATTAAGTGGTTCCAGATGATTACATAATTCTTCCTCTCATCGTATGGTACACATTCAGTAATTGTACGGCAAGACTTTCAATTTTGATTGAACAATTCTCTGTTCACCTTGTTATTTGCTGAAAGTTAAATACTTTTAGGCAAAGTCCCAACAAACACTTTCTAGTTGGAGCTTCATTTCGAACAACTGCACATCATAAAACTCAACCACTTACTGGCTGACTCTTACGTACATTTAAATAATTTGTTTGGCAAAAACTAAATGTAAATTGGACCGAATGTATATTTCATTGCAATTAACTAATTAGGTCATGACACCTGCTTGCAGGTATGAAAAGAATTAAACACTAGCAATGATTGCACAATATTCAACATCATTCATACAAACTCAGATTCTGAAGCAGTCCATGCCCATATTCAGCAAGATCTGGACACCATCCACGTCGCAATAACATACATGCCACACAAGTGACAGGCAATAGCCTTCTCCAGCAAGATAGAATCTAACCATTGTCCCTTGATGTTCAGTGGTATTATCATTGCTGAATACCCCCACTATCAATATCTTGGGGGTTATCATTGACCAGAAACTGAACTGGACTAGTCATTTAAATACTATCGCTACGAGAGCAGGTCATGGGCTAGGAATCTGTGGCAGGTAACTCACCTCCTGGCTCCCCAGTTCTTGTCCACAAGCCACAAGTCAGGAGTGTGGAATACTCCTCACTTGTCTGGATGAGTGCAGCACCAATAATGCTCAAGAAGCTTGACCCCATCCAAGACAAAGCAGCCTATCAAGCAACTACAACATTCACTCCCTTTACCACAGGTGCACTGTAGCTGCAGTATACACCATCTACAAGACTCACTGCAGTAATTCACCAGGACTCCTTAGTTAGCATTTTCCCAAACCACCAGCTCTACCATCTAGAAGGCCAAGGGTAGCATGTACATGGAACACCACCATCTACATATTCCCCTCCAAGTAACACAGCATCCTGAGTTGGAAGTGTAACACGATTCCTTCATTGGGTCAGAATCCTGAAACTACCTTCTTAACAACATTGTGGAGGTCCTAACCCTCCAAAGATTGAGTGATTCAAGAAGGTAGTTCACCACCACCTTCTCCAAGGCAACAAAGAATGGACAATAAATGCTGCCAGTGATACCCATACCACATGAATGAATAAAAAAGACTTAACATTAGCAAAGAAGAAATGTCCATGATTGTCAGACAGAACATTTTCCTTCATTGAGAAGCTTCATCACATAATAACACTGACTTGTGGGACAGCACGTTCTGATAGTCTGAGAAGGCATATCATATACCAATACGACATAGAAGGAAGGGTCCTTTGTAAAGCATGTTCCATTGTACTCTACAGGGTGGTGTGAATACCAGTGTGAAGAATGGTGGAATCTATGTGAAGGCCATTATACCTGGAGGCGCTGCAGATCTTGATGGTCACATCAGGAAAGGTAGAGAGCAGATTTTTGTGTGAACAACTTAAGAGGATGCATGACTATTCTGTGTGATACATCTGCATGCAAAACATGAACTAACAGATTTCTTCCAATGTAAGAACACTGGGGCTTTGATGAGGTTTAGGGTATGACCATGCCCTGCTGGTCACGATGATTGAACATACAATAGGATTCGGCTGTTTCAATTCTTTATTGCATAATGGGATGTTGGCAAGGCCAACATTTGTTGCTCATCCTTAATTGTACTCGGACTGAGTGCTTGCTGGACCATTTCAGAGAGCAGTTAAGAGTCAATCACATTGGTTTGGGTCTAGAGTTGTATGTAGGCCAGCATGGGTAAAGATAACAGATTTTCTTCTGAAAGGACATTAGTGAACCATTTCTGTTTTCAACAGTCAATGATAATTGTCATGGCCACTGAGACTAACTTTGTGTTCCAGATTTGGAACTTGAAATTAATCTCCATCAGCTACCTTGGGAGTTTGAAACTCTACCAGATGCTATGGGATTTGAACCTGAAGCACTGGGTCCAGATCACTCATGCAGTGACATTTCAACTACAGCACTGTTTCCTCAGGTCAGAGAGATCTTTAACCTCTGGAACCCGTGTACACATTCAGACTGATCAAATGTGTGTCTCCTCTGCCTTTTTCATGGCAAGAGACTCCATGGCTCGTTAACTTTGGTCCTCTTCAAAATAGGAATACAAATCAAAGCACAAAACTGTCCCTGATTTGGCATAGTCCCTAATTTGAAAGGAAAGGACACTGAAGGGGCAATGAAAGGAGACACACTAGTCAGGAGAGACCAATTCTCCATTTGGGTTGTCTTAGAAAAGCTCATTCTCCATTTTCCCATATAACATTTAACTTGTGTTTGATGCTGATGGTGGATGCCTTTTCTCAATGTTAGCGTCACAAACTATGGCAAATGTGATATTTATTAATAAAAATACAGCAGGGAAGTAAGAAAAGCTTAGTCCAGGGCTGACTGACCATGTGACAATAACCTGGGAAAGAATTATTTGAGGATAGTCCAATCAGTGGCCAAGATGCCCTTTCTGTGGACTATTCAAAATCCATCTCATCATGACATTGCTGCATCCAAGTCATCTCCCTGTGGAAGCTTCATGTGAACAGTCTCCAAGGCTAGTCATCCCATGATGTCAGATTAACTCTGCATTGCCACTGTTCAGCATTAGCTGGAAGTATAGATAACCCCATTTCCTTCAGCAATTCCCCTCACAACAGGTAGGAGAGGATGATGGGATGCAGACTTTAATAGGGCACTGTGAAGACTATGCCCCTAAAAAAGCCATGCTACTGCCTAGCTTCTCATTTCACATCAATGGATATGGCATTGAGGGGAGGGGGATGAGGTGACGGGAGGGGGTGTCCACCTGTCAGGAGAAATATCACATTTGCCATAGTTGGTGACCTTAACAGTGAGAAAAAGCACCCACCGTCGGTATCAAACACAGCTGCAGTACATTTTGGATCCAGATTCTGAGTGGTCTTATGATCTTTCCCGGGGCTGGGGAACTCAGCGATGAAAAGGAGATTATAGCCATTGACTCCATAAGGAGCAAGGATGTATCTTTTAGGCTGGGTGAAGCAGAAATTTTCTACCTCTCGAAGAAGCCTTTGGCGATTGTTATTTTTTACACCATTCCTCCCTAGCCAGACCTATCTGTGGCTGGACACCCGTTTCCCTCGCTCCAGATTGCCAGGGACCACCCCCAAGGGTCTACGGTTTTGGCGTCCAATCACTGATGCTCCCTCCAGTTCGCCAGCAATGTTGTCAACTTGGCTGAGGCCTAAGCTAGAAATTCACAAGCAAGAAATGATAGCTCAAGCAGGACCTTTGTGTCCTTGGTCCTGCGAGGGTCCTGGGCATTTATCAGCCTCCAACACCCACTCCCCTGTATCTCTCCAGGTCTTGGTGTTTGTTCTGTCTGTCATTAATGCACTCCAAATTTACTTTCAACAAGATACTTTTTTGTTTTGAATGAGCCAAATGAAGCATCAGTGAACAGTTTGACATTTGAAAAAGGTGCAATTTCCTTCTTCGGCATTTTGTTTTGTTAAAACCTAGCCTGCTGTCATCCTGTTGGGTCTTAAGGAGGCAGCTATCTGTGAAGCACAAATCCTTTGGAGTCCCTGCTACCTGCTGAGCCAGCATGAGTACTGACACTTCATCCTTATTACTGAACTGAACCTGAAGTCCAATTTTGGGCCATTTGGTTCAGGGAAGTGCTGCTCAGCAAATATGGATGAACACCTCATGTGGTATCAGAAGGGAGTGGCAGCTATGCTGCTTTAAAAGCACTGGAACGTATTCGATTCTGTTTCAGGTTTGTCTACCCTCTCCCAGGATGGCCAGTGGTCTGCCAGAAGTTTTGGTGGCAAAGCTATAAATATTATCCAAAGCGAATTAGCTACCTAATACATTCAGAATGAGAGGCAACCTTATTGAGACATGCAAGATTCTTAGAGGACTAGACCGAGTGGCTTTTGAGAGGCTGTGGGAGAGTCCAGAACCAGAAGACATAATCTCAGAATAAAGGGTCACGTATTTAAGACAGAGATAAGGAGGAATTTCATCTCCCAGAGGGTTGCGAGTCTGTGAAATTCTTTGCCACAGAGGTCTGCCAAGGCTGGAATATTAATCAGGAAGGGAATCAAGGCTTAAGATAGAAAGCATTTTATCTGGGTGCATTACAGCTTGGTATGGCAGCTTCTCTGCCCAGGACTGTAAGAAACTACAGAGAGTTGTGAACACAGCCCAGTGCATCCCGCAAGCCAACCTTCCATCCATTGACTCCATCTACATTTCTCACTGCCTCAGAAGGCAGCCAACATCATCAAAGACCCCTCCCACTAGTTATAATCTCTTATGATCTCTTCCATCGGGCAGGAAATACAAAAGCTTAAACACATGTACCAACAGATTCAAGAACAGCTTTATCACCACTGTTATTAGACTTCTGAATGAACGTCACAAATTTCAAATCTAATGTTGTTCTTGCTTTTTGTGCACCTTCATTGCAGCCGTAACTTTGCATTCCTCACTCTGTTCTATCACCCTATAATCTTTGTATGGTACGATCTGCCTGTACTGCAGGCAAAACAAAACTTTTCAGTGTACCTAGGTACATGTGACAACAATAAATCAGATCAGAAATCAAGGAGAAAAAGCTGCAGTGGAGTTATAGAGCCATACAGCACAGAAACAGACCCTTCAGTCCAACTCATCCATGCTAACTAAGTTTCCTAAACTGAATTAGTCCCACTTGCCTACATTTGGCCCATATCCCTCTGAACCTTTCCTATTTGCGTAGCCATCCAGATGCCTTTTAAATGTTGTATTTGTACCAGCCTCCACTACTTCCTCTCGCAGCTCATTCTGTATACACACCACCCCTCAGATCCCTTTTAAATCTTTCCCCTCTCACCTTAAACCTATGCCCTCTAGGTTTGGACTCCCCTACCCTGGGAAAAAACCTTGGCTATTCACCATATCTATGCCCCTCATGATTTAATAAATCTCTACAAGGTCACCCCTCAGTCTCCACACAGTCCCAGCCTATCCAGCCTCTCCTTATAACTCAAGCCCTTCTGTGAGTAACATCATTGTAAATATTTTTTGCACCATTTCCAGTTTCATAACATCCTTTCTGAAACAGCGTGACCAGAATTGTACACAGTTAGATCAGCCGTGATTTCATTGAATTGCAGCGTAGACTCAATTGGTTGAATGGCCTTCTTCTTCTATCTTTAATGGTGTTACGGTCAACTAGAGCTACAGAACGGTGCTGGCACAGCTCCAATAAAGGAACTCTCATTCCAATGCATTGCTGTTCAACCTTGAATGAGGCCACACAAATTCTAACTCTTTACTTGTATTTTGACAGGTGACTGTTTGCGGGAGGTGGATGGAATCAGCCTGCAGGGCATCACTCATAAACAAGCGATTGAGTGTTTGAAGAACACTGGTCAGGTACGTTGCTATGTCATCCTGACTGCCCATGAATCAGATCAAGAGGTTAATGACCCCTGGCTGGAATACTGCTAAAACTCGACAAGTCACTGCGTTCTTACAATAGTTGACGACAGTTCAGTGCACCAGTTCTTTCAGAGTGAGAGCAGAATTGAAATAAGAAGCGCAAGTCAAAATTGGTCCATTGCTTGCTTTTTCCTAATAACTGGTTATAAAGGACATTTCTTCTTGTGAGGGAGTCTAGATCTAGTGGGTACAGGTTAAAGATGAGGGGCACCCAGTTAACATGGAGGTAGAGAGAATGTCTTCCCTCAAAGAGTCATTAGAATTCTCCTCGCAAAGAGTAATGGAGATGGGTTCTGAGGCAGGGTCACTGAACCCGAAACATGAACTCTGATTTCTCTTCACAGATGCTGCCAGATCTGCTGAGCTTTTCCAGCAAATTCTGTTATTGCTTCTGATTTACAGCATCTGCAGTTCTTTCGGTTTTTAATGGAGGTGGGTTCATTGAATACGTTCGAGATTTTTGGTGGACAGGGGAATCAAGGCAAGGAAAGCCATTTAAGGTGCCTATCAAATCAGCCTTATTGAACAGTGAAGCAGACTTAATGGACCGAATGGCCCACCCTTGTTTCTTATACTCACCTGCAGTGCAGCTAAATGCTGTGCATCTCTGTCCCGATGCCCAGTCCACACTCAACACCACACCTTTGGAGTGGAGAAAACGGTGCAATAATTCATTGTCCTCCTGTGACTGCCTGATGTAGATTTATTTTATCAAATTCATGTTGAATATCAACATTGAATGATAAGTGCCCCAGGTCTTCTTGATACCTATTCATCATCAAATGGGTACCATGACAACCAGCCATCCTGTACATGAGCCACACGAAATTCTGTTAGAATCATCTTCTTAAAGATCCACTTTTTTATTGTTTAATTTACTAATCAATCTGTTCAGAGATGTTATCTCAAACCCGTGGAACAGGTAGGACTTGAACCCAGACCTCCTGGTCCAGTGGTAGGGATGCTATCACTGCACTACAGAAGCCCTTTTTAAGTTGTTTATTAGTGTACTAAAATAGCAAATATATCTGTGATTTACAGGGTGCATGTGGAATGAATGTCCATCTCACTGCACCTTTGTCACTGTTATGTTTGGTTACAAAAGTCTTTGTTCACAGAAGAGATCCTTGGGTTGAAATGTATTAAGGCAGGATGTATGTGCAGAGGGTATCATTGTTCATTCTTAATTACAGGAATAATTTGCAGACTATAAATCCCAAGCTTACACTATCCAGCTATTGCCTCCTCAAGTTTCTTTTTTATAATTTATCTGGGGTATGTGGGTGTTGCTGGTTGGGGCAGCTTTTATTGCCTATCTCCAGTTACCTCTGTGAAGGTGATGGTGAGCTGCATTCTTGAACTGCATGTGCTGCAGGTTGACTCACAATACACTTACAAAGATAGTTGTAGGATTTTGACCTGGCGACAGTGAAGGAGCAATGATATATTTCCAAGTCAGGATGGTGAGTGACTTGGAGGGGAAATTGCAGGTGGTGATGTTCCTACATATCTGCTGCCCTTGTCCTTCTAAATGGTGTGTGTTCATGTGTTTGGAAGGAACTGTCAAAGGATCTTTGGTGAATTTCTGCAGTGCATCTTCTACATAATACACACTGCTGCTACTGAGCATTGGTGGTAGAGGGAGTGCCAGTGGATTTGATGGCAATCAAGTTGGCTGTTTTGTCCTGGATGGTGTAAAGTTTTTTGAGTGTTGTTAGAGCTGCAGTCATCCAGGCAAGTGAGGATTATTCGATCACACTCCTGACTTGTGCCTGGTAGACACTGGACAGGCTTTAGATAGTCAGGAAGTGAATTACTCATTGCAGCATTTCTAACCTCTGAGCTGCTCTGTTTCTGGTTAGTAGTAAACTCCATGATGTTAATACTGGTGAATACATGCCATGAAATATCATGGGCTTATGTGCGGTATGAATGTTACTTGCCGCTTGTTATCCCAAGTCTGGATACTGCCCAGATCTTAATGCATTTGAACATGGACTGCTTCAGTACCTGAGGAGTTGTGAATGGTGCAAGGCATTGGAAATCATTAGCAAACACCCTCACTTTGGACCTTAGCTCTTCATCCAGATTTCTAAATACATTTTTTAAAATTATGTAAGACATAATATTATGTCCTATGTCATAGGGTGAAACAACATTTTGTTGTTTTGTGCTGAATATATGTCACAGGTGGTCATTTGGAAACAAGTCAAAGATTAATCTAAGGTTCCACTCGCTGATTCTCATGAATGTAAAAGAAGCTATTTGAACAGTGCAAAGGTATCGTTTTATGCTAACAAGCATTTCTCCATTAACCTACACCATCACAAGTGTGGTTTAACCGATAATTCTTCTTATTTATTGTTCAATGAAAGGTCTGGCAACTGCGAATATCCAGAGCATAGAGAAGGGGGGATGGGATCTAATTAGGCTTTGTGTCAGGTCTTTACTATGTTCAGTCTCCAACTCAGATACTTAACACTCACTTCACCTCACTCCACAACTCACTCAGCCTCCTTCAGCGGCACCTTCCAATTACACCTAGAAAGAGATGTCAACAGGTGAATGGGGTCACCACCACCTCCAAGTTCTGGTCCAAGCCACCTGCCTTCCTGACTTGGCACCATAATGCCATTACCATCTCTGTTGTTGGGGAAGACAACTTCTGGAACTCCCTCCTTGATAGCAGATGGACTACACAGGCTTAAGGAGGCAACTGAGCAGCAGACTTTGCAAGGCCAATTTGAGATGGGCTACAAACGTTGGCCCCAACAGTGGTACTCACATCCCATTAGATATTACTAAAAAAATTGCTGCATGCCTTTGAGTTGCTATATTTCTTCTTTTGCTGTTTTACTTAGCTGTTCAGCATTTGCTGCTCTTGTTCCTCTCCCTATTGAGAAGCCCCTGCTTACCGTGAATGATTGTTCTTATATCCTATTATAGGACGTGCTGGAAACATATTAAAATAGCATGCTATCCCTCCACACATGCAGATACAATCACCCAAACCTAGATGAAAATTATCAACCAGTTTACACTGATATTTCATTTCTCTCTACAACCAGCTGCCTGTCTTCCTTTTCTTCAGTTCCTTGCTCAGGTCTGACCCACTGTGCCCCAGTCTTCATTACAGGTGGAACAAGGAGGCAGGTCCTGAACCCACCCAGTCAGGAAGGGGGTCAAACCTCAAAGCTGTTGCCACCAATCTGATCCAAACCATGAGTCAGAGGCAACATACACTTTCACACGTTTATGATCTGGAAGTCAACCTGCTGGGCCACACCTTCCTTTCATTTCATTAGTTCACGGGATGTGGGCATTGCTGGTTATGCCTGCAGTTCCTGCCCACTTCGTATTGCCCTTGAAGTGAGCGGCTTGCCAGGCCATTTGAAAGGGCAGTTGAGAATTGACCACATTTTATGGGTCTGGAATCTCATGTCGCCCAGACTGGGTAAGGATGTTGGTGAACCAGATGGGTTTGTAATGACAATTAACAATGGTAACATGGTCAACATTAGACTAGCTTTTAATTCCAGATTTCTTTTCTTGAATTTAAATTTCACCACCTACTTTGGTAGAGTTCAAGTCAATGTCCCCAGATAATTGGCCCAGCATTCCAGATTACAGGTGGCCCCCAACTTAGAGACATCAGACTTACAAACACTGTATTTACAAACATGGTCCCATCTTGCTCTTCACCTCATGTTCACGAATAGATACTGTACTGTTTTGTGTTCCAACTTGCATGCAATTGACTTGCGAACATTTTTGGGAACAAAACCTGCTCATAACTTGGAGGCTGCCTGTAATAATCCAGTGATATTGCCACTTCTGGTTCAGAGATAGGGATACCGCACACTGTGCATTCAGATAGTTCTCAGAGTTCTCAACAAGGCTACAGATTAATTTGGTCAAATTTGCATGCAAAATATGCCAATCTGCATAGTAATGAATATTAGTTCCCTCGCTTACGAATAAACTGAAGCAAGGGACTGTCAAGTGAAATAAATACCACTTTTATTTAACTTAATCTCAACAGTGCTCTATTTCTTACCAACACAACAGATCTATGAGGTATACTGTTCACTCAAAATATAATAAAACCTGATAACAAGAATACTATTTAACTTGACTGTCTAACAAATTGCAAACCAGTGATGGTATTTATTATGCAATTTCATGCTTGGAATAAATCCTAACAGTTTATCATGAATAAATTTACATAAATTTGTAAGCAACCCTAACTCAGGCACACAGCTGTGATTAAGTATCATTAATATTGCTGTAGTACCACAGTAAATTTGAAATGTAGTCTATCAAGCTTTTGGGAATCACTATTCTAAAATGTTACAGCCATTCCTCCAGTACTTATAAAACATTCATTAGGTTAACATTTGTGTTGATACACCATGTTAAATGTTTCTTCAAGAAGTCTTGTAATCATAGCATAGCTCGGAACAGAAGGAGGTCGTTTGACCCATCAAATCTACATTATCTCTTTCTAAAACTTATCCGATTTATCATGTGCCTGCTTCAAATCTCTTCAATTATTTCTCCTTCGACTATTTTTCCAGTTTGAAGAACACTTTTGGCTTTGTTTTCACCACTACATCAGAAGGGCCCATTCCAAATTCTAACCAGTTGTTGCATTAATGTGTTGCCTTTGGTTCTTAGTGGGCAGGTGATGCCTGAGTGGTATTATCGCAGGACTGTTAATCCAGAAACCCAACTACTGTTCTGGGTGACTGAAGTTCGAATCCCTCCATAGCAGATGATGGAGTTTGAGTTAATTTAAAAACCTGGAATTAGGACTCTGATGATGACCGTGAATTCATTGTTGATTGTTGGAAAACCCCATCTAGTTCACTAATGTCCTAAAGGGAAAGAAGCTGCCATCCTTACCTGGTCTGGTCTACATGAGACTCCAGATC